ACCTAGCTGTTTTGTGTGGGAACCGGTCCCGTACAGGTTCCAAGGAACAAATGTACTGTCACATTTATTTTTTTTATGTCATTATTGTTAGGTTTTATATTGGTCCAAGTGTGCCATTTTTCCTAGTTGTGTGTTTCCTTTTAGTTTATAGGAAATTTCTCTTATAAATGATGTATCACGTTTGAGTCCTTGTAGGAAAAGACAGTATGTAGCCAGACTCAGGCCCAGTTCCCTTTTTAGCATGAAGTCTTTTTGGCATGAAGTCTTATGCTAAAAGAGGGATCAGGCTGAGAGCTATGCTATAGACTTTTTCTTAATGAGAAAAGCCTGAGTCACTACAGGGCTCCAGGACTCAGGATGTGGACTGTGGAGTTACACTCCTGATGATTTTCAGTTCTATCTACCCCCAAATTAAATACAGAACTGCAAACTAGCCCCCAAATTAAATGCAGAGTTACAAATTAATCCACTATCAAAATAAAACACTTTCTCTCTAAAAAGGACCAACCTAGGATATAGCAGTCCCCACCACTGCTAACTTTCCGTTTGTTTACCTAACAACAACAAAAATCTGTGGCCCACACCCTGAGCTCAGGCCTCGGGGGCAAAGGATGGGAGGTGGTGCCCCCTTTTCATTTCTTTCCCTCCTTAGGATTAAGGGTCACTTCCAATTTAGATGGAAGCTCTGGAAGGCCAAACCCAGTGGCCTCTTGGTCATGAATGACCGGCCTGCTCTGTCCTTGAGGCTGAGCTAGCTCTGTCCTGCTCCATTTCTAGAAGTAACTGGCTTGAAACCCAGTGGACCTGAGATGAAGTTACCACCAACCACGCCTCCAGTCCAAAGATTTTTTTTGTGGCGCCTGTGCCCCACATGACCTGTTATTTCCCTCTGAAATCAAAAGCCCACCATCCAGGGACAAAGACAGGTTCCCAGAGCATCATTTCAGACTGGCAAACCCACAACTATCACTTCAAAAAGCTGGGCCCATTTGGTGTTGGATTACCAACTGGTGTGCTCTTCCCGGGGGTAGACTAGTTCTCCCCCTCTTGGCGTTCCTAAAGCTTGTAGTTCTGTGTATAGGGCTGAAGCCTCGTGAGCTTTCCCTATTCACTTTGGCGTGTCCATTGGTGCCATCTTTATTTGGCCCTGAAAACACACATACAAGTAACATGTAAATACACATAAGCATGTAGCAACAGTAACGAGAAACAGAGGCTACGAATTAGGAGAGCAAGGAGGGTATATGAGAGGGTTTAGAGGGAGGAGAGAGAAAGCAGAAATAATGTGATTATGTTATGATTTCAAAAATAACAAAAACAGAAGTCCAGGTCCATGGAGGTCTGGAAAGCCTGAGGAACATGTCAGTTAAGGCTATTTCTCTCCCTGGGGCTTTATGACACACTGTTGTGTGGCAGTGGTATTAAAACAATAGCAGATAAAGGAAGCCAGGCTTCAAACCTTTCACAAATTGGGGCTGGACAGGTAGCTCAGAGGCTAAGGGCACTGGCTGCCCTTCCAGAGGATCCAGGCTCAATTCCCAGCACCCACATCGTGGCTCACAACCATCTGTAACTAGAGTTCCAGGGGATCCAACACCTTCTTCTGGTCTCCATGGGTATCAGGCATGCATGTAGTACATAGACTAGACATATATGCAGGCAAAACATTCATGTGCATAAAATAAACAAATCTAAAAAAAATTTCAAACCTCACAAATTGTCCATTTGTCAAGCAGAGGGGGAAATGCAATCATTCCTCCCATCTACCCATCTAGAGAGTTTACTTAGAATCACCAGAACCTCAGGGAACAGAAGCTTGGCTAAACCAAGGGTGGTTGGCAGGTGCAGAGTGCCCAGGGACAGTGTGAATCTATGGCAGCGTGCCAAGGATAAGATTTTACACATGAGATCACAAGGGTTCAGTCCTGCTCTTAACATCTAGGACAGCGGTTCTCCACCTGTGGGTTGTGACCCCTTGCGGGGAGTCACATACCAGATATTTACATTGTCATTCATAACAGTAGCAAAATTACAGTTATGAAGTAGCAACAAAATAATTTTATGGTTGGGAACTATATTATAGAGTTGCAACAGTAGGAAGGTTGAGAACCACTGACCTAGAAGCATCCACTACATGTTCCCTCTGTTCTAGACGTTTCTTAAGTGACTGCTCTAAGTGCCATGCCTTCAGGACCTGAGTTTTCCAGGGTCCCCAAGGCTTGAGATTGCTGTCATATCCATCCCCACCTCCATGACCCACCCTGTAGTGCCACCCACAATGGCCCTCGTGAAGAAGGAACTTTGTGGAGACATGACCTCTGTGCGTGGAGAATGGGTGGCTTCCCTCAGGAGGAACTGTGGGTATGTGGGTAGCTGTCTAGTGAGATCCCCACATGCCTCAGTGTTTCATTTCCTTTTTTCTTCTCTGTTACCAGAAAGAGCTTTCTGAAGAAGTTGACCAGAATGGCAGCTGGGCTCAGATTCCTGTCCAAATCTACAATGCCACCTGCACAGTGAGGATTGCGGCCGTCACTAAAGGGGGCGTTGGACCTTTCAGTGAGCCAGTGAAAATAATCATTCCTGAACACAGTGAGTCGGGACCCCTGTTGGCTGCAGAACGTGGCAGTCTGAGTAGCTCACAGACTGCCTACTTGGGCTCATTGCGATGGCAGCTGATTGACAAGTGTAAAATAAGAACCAAAATGTGTTGTTGCAATTATAAGGAACTTTAGAATACACTCCACAGAACCCCTGTACTCCTGCCATTGCCTGCCATTGCCATTAACACTAATAACTTATGAGGAAGATTCGTCCTTTCAGAATACTGAGTTGGACGTTAGCTGCAGAATTTGGTTTAAGGCACATGACACTACATTTTGGACAGGCAATACTGCTAGACCTTTTGCGGCCTCTGACCGACACTGTTGGCTTGCCGCATTCGTTTCTGCTCTGTTTGAAGCTGCTGCTCGCCTTGTTTTTACCCATTCGACCCTTGGGTAATGTGCTCAGTGACTTGGTCTGCATAGAACATCAAGTGTTTCCTTCAGAAGCTGTCCTCACGCAGCCCTGACTAGCTGAGCTAAATGCCCAACCATCCATATTAGCTCTTGCCTATTACTGGAATGTTCTTTGGCAAGGAGCCATCATGATGCCTCACACGGGCCAAATGCTGTTCATGCTTCTGTAAATCAGGGGAGCCACCTTCGTCCTGACTCCAACCCATCCTAGGTTGTTTGGGATTAAACCATTGTTGTAAACTGCATGCCCAGCCATCTTTTCCAGCCTGACTTACTCATTTACAAGTTCTTGCCAAACACGGCCTTTGCACCCAATAGCAGATGAGACTTGAGAGCCGATGACTCATTTGTGTCTGTCTCTTTCCCTGTGATCCCCAAGCAGGCTGTCCTTTTCGTACTAAATAGGACGTAGATTACCTTCCTGCAGCAGGAACTCCATCCCTGGGAACACACTTAGTGGTGGTGGAGAGACTATCTACCTGGAAGACAGTGAGATTCTGAGTCAAAAGGCAGCTTTACAAACCAAAGTTTAGAGCAGCAGTTAAGAACACTTGCTGCTCTTGCAGAGGACCGGAGCTTAGATCCCAGCACCCGCATCAGGTAGCTTAAAGCTCCAAGGGATCTGATGCCCTTTTCTGGTCTCCATGGGGATCCACATGCATGTACATTCCTACATGCACACATTGGTAAATATACACATACACATCAATAATGGCCCATCCTTCTTAAAAATCAGAATTTGTGACCATAGAACTTCCATATTTATGTGTAATAAACTGTAAAAGATTTTAAAGGTTTGCTTCATAATCACCTGTAAAAGTGCCCGTTACTACATTTAGCCGTTATGACTAGCTGGCTAAATAACACCAGCTCCCGGCAATACAGTTCGAATTTTAGTTACCCTCCTGTGAGAACTGTCATTGCGCAAAGCATAAAGTTGCCTCTGGTCACCACGAGTGACAGATGTGCGGCATCTCTACAGTAGTCATGTCGCGTGTTTCCAAGCTTGTGGGTGACCGGCCACCATGTCTGTCATTCAGTTCACACAGTTGGCACAGACATATGCCCATGTGACTTCCTCACCTCCCTGTACCAAATCCAAGTGACTTTTACAACCATGGATAGTTGACAGAAGGAATTAGTGAGAAAATGTGAAAAGGTAGCAAGAGGTGTTGGAAGTGAAGTGTGAAGTGAAGGTAAGTGGAGTGTGGGATGTTGGCACCACTGTCGTTTGATGGACTTACTGGCATGAGCACAGTTGTGAATGTGTTTACATAAGCCCATTGATGTGACAGAAACACTAAAAGTGTCCCAGTTAAAGGGACACCTGCAAAAAACAAAAAACAAAAAAACAAAAAACCCACAAAATCATAAACAAGGCAAAACAAAACAAAACAAAAACAACTTTACATTAGGGGGGGTAGGGGGTGGAGGGGGTGAGAGGGGGGTGGGGGGCATAGCTCAGGGGTACAGCACTTGCCTAGAATTCACAAGGCCCTGGGCGCCATTCCAACACAACAACAAAACCTTCACATTAAAGGAATTCACAGAAATACCTTACAACACCAAAAGCGAGAAGATAAAATGTTGGAATTGTAATCCAACTTGGAAAAGCACGTGACAGGTCTGGGCAACACAGAGAAGGTATTTTCCGTGTGCTCAGTTGATTGGCCAGAAGACAAACACTGTTTGGATGTCCTGCGACCTTTTCTTTTTCGGACAGAGAAGTCACTTTCTCTTACTGTTTTGACTTACTTTGTACCAACCGGACATGGTGTACGAGACTACAGTCCCGGCAGAGACACGGGATGAAAAACTGGAGACCAGCCTGGGCTGCATAGGGAAACCCCGTGAAAAGGAGAAAGGGGGGAGGGAGAGGAAGAAGAAAGAGGAATGCCGTGCACCAAGCAGTGTTTTGCTAGTTTTTCATTTTCGTCTGAATTTATTACCAACATGAAGCAAGTGTGTCATTTGGTTATTTTTTAATTGGCAAGTGAAAGTTGTATGTGTCTGTGGTCTTCAATATGTTGTTTTGACAGGCATTTACTGTGGAGTGAGACAAGAAAACTAGTGTCATTGTTCCCTTAAATTTTATTTCTTTAATAATTTAATTTTATTTTATATACATTGGCATGAGGGCATCAGATCCCCTGGAACTGAAGTTACAGACAGTTGTGAGCTGCCATGTCGGTGCTGGGAATTGAACCTGGGTCCTCTGGAAGAGCAGCCAGTGCTCTTAACTGCTGAGCCATCTCTCCAGCCCTTTTTCTAAAATAATTTTAATTTTGTTTATTTTTAATTGTGTGGCTTGTGTGCCTGCTTGTCTGTGTGTGCACCATGTGACAGCGATGCCCATGGAGACCAGGGGAGAATGAGGGAACCCTTCAAGCTGGAGTTTCAAGCAGTTCTGAGCCACCCATTGTAGGTACTGGGAACCGAACCTGGGTCTTTCACAAGAGCAGCGAGCGCTGGTGACCTCTGAGCCATCTCTCCAGCTCCTAGTTTCATTGATAATTGTGACTCTGCATCATTTCACCCTGCACGAAGTGAGAACAACCTGCATTCGTTGATCACAAAGAGTTAAAGGATTGCAAGCGGATCCATCCTACGTATTCTGAATCCCAGAGCAGTAGTCCCAATGAATGTTTTTGGATTTGTTCCAGGTAGGGTAGATTATGCGCCCTCATCAACTCCAGCCCCCGGCAACACAGAGTCTATGATCATCGTCCTCGGCTGCTTTTGTGGATTTATTTTAATCGGGCTGATTTTATATATTTCTCTGGCCATCAGAAGAAGAGTCCAGGAAACAAAGTTTGGGTAAGTTTTCCGCTTAAAAAACGTTGACCTTGAGCAGGCATGGTGGAGCACACCTTTAATCCCAGTAAAGGCAGAGGCGGGCAGATCTTTGTGAGTTTGAGATCAACCTGGTCTACACAGAGCTGGGGTGGGTGAGAAAGGTTTCACCCTTCTATAAAAAGAAAAAAAAAATTAACCCTATGGTGCCAGTGCGGTTGTTATAACAGATGATAGCAGCTGTCTGGCTATCTGCTTTGTCCTATCTTATGCAGGCCCCGGAGCCAGGGGACTTCCCTACTTAGAACAGTTCCTGCAAAGTCAGCAACTGTAAGAGCTGGCCCTACAATGGGCTCGTCTACAGAGAAGAGCCTCAGTAGGATATGCTATGCAAACTGGGTAGTGTTGAATGAGATGCTTTAAAAGTGACCCCAATTATTAATTATTGTGTGTGTGTGATATATGCACATGTGTACACATGTATGTGCATCTGCACTTTCCTGTGCATGCCTGTGTGGAGGCCTGAGGTCAAACACATCAGGTGTTTTCCTCTGTTGACCACCACTGTTTTTAAATTTAAAAAATTTTCAAAAAAGACTTTTTTTTTTTAAAAACTTCTGTGTGTGTGTGTGTGTGTGTGTGTGTGTTCTCAATGCCATGTTACACATAAAGAGATCATAGGACAACTTGCAAGAGCTCTCTTCTTCCACATGTGGGTTCATCATTGAACTCAAGTTATCAGGCTTGGTAGCCAATGCCTTTACCCACTGAGCCATTTCACAGGCCCCTCCATTGTATTTTTTGAGACAGGCTCTCTCATTAAAGCCAGGCCTTTCCGTTTTGGCTAAACTGGCTGACTGGTTAGCTGGGAACGTTCTGTCTTTCTCTCTACCTCCAGCACTGGGGCTACTAGCATACGCCTCCACACTCAGCTTTTATGTGTATCTGGGGATCATATCCACATGCTTACACATCAAGCCCTTTACCACTGCGTCATCTCCCTAGGCCCCAGTTGTTGTTGTTTTTTTTTTTAAGGTACAGTCCAAACATCCACAAACTGAAAATATGAACCACAAAATGGTTCAGTTGGAAACAGAGTGTCAATTTGATGCCACCTTTGGAAATTTTGTTTCACACACAAAATGATTACAAGCATTCTATACCTTCATGCTGTGTGTGAAGTAGGTGTGAAATGGGTATAGCTTCATGTTTAGATTTGGTTCCAAGATTCCAGAATCTGAAAAGGTCCTGAAATTCCTAACACTTCTGATCCAGCCATTTTTAGAGAAGGATGCCCTGCCTGTATGTAGAGGGGATACAGGGACCATCGCCAAGGTATTAGCATCCCTGGATGGCTGAAGGTGGCTTGCCTCCTGCTTTTTATTTCTTCTTTTCATCCTTCCTTCCTTCCTTGGCTAAATTTTCACATTTTCTGTAATTATCCATTTCAAATAGAGACCGTTTTGTATTCGAACACTGCAATTTAAAGTCCTCTTTTCCTTTTCCCACCCCAGTTCTGTCCCTGTAAACAGCCTTTTAACATTGCCGGGCTTCCTCGCCATTATCCGTCTCTCAGTGGACTGCAAGGTCATTACCAATTCTAACGGCTGTAAGCCTGAGGTAAAAATACTGTGTTCTGGCAGCACTTAAGAGATGCTGAGTCAGGATGGAGCGATGACTCTGCAGCCAAAAGCATTTGCTGCTCTTGGTGAGGACCTGAGTTCGGTTCCAAACACCCATGTCAAGTGGCCAACAACCACCTGTAACTCCAGTTCCAGAGGGTCTTATGCCCTCTTCTGGCCTCCTCAGGTACTCACGTAGATACACACATATACATACAATTTTTTTTTTAAACATCAAAAAATGAACCTTAAAAAAAAGGCTTGCTGGGGCTGGAGCAATGGTATATATGCAGGCAAAACAATCAAACACATAAGAGTAAGTCAATACCTTTTTTTTTTCGAGACAGGGTTTCTCTATGTAGCTTTGCACCTTTCCTAGAACTCACTCTGTAGACCAGGCTGGCCTCAAACTCACAGAGATCCGCCTGCCTCTGCCTCCCGAGTGCTGGGATTAAAGGCTTGTGCCACCTCAATATCTTAAAAAATGTAACAGTTATCCTTTGTTTTTAAGATATTTACACGCATAATCATATATGTATGTAAAGAAGGTATGAATCCATGGCCTTGGCCATGACAGGCAAGCATACTCACCATGGATACCTAGTCCTTTTCTATGTCCTTCATGATACCCCCCCCCCCCCCCCCCCCCCCCCCCCCCCCCCCCCCCCCCCCCCCGTAGTACTGGGAATCAAACCCAAGGTCTCACACCTGCTTCACAAGCATTCTACCACCAAGCTGCATTCCCAGCAGGGAAATGTTTTGGCTGCAGAAGAGCCCTTTATATATGCTGAGACACCATAACGGCCTTGTGGTGCTGACGGCACATGGTTCCATTACCCTGTTTTTATGGCTGGCTGTCTGTTTTTGTGCAGGGGTGCATTCTCTGAGGAGGATTCCCAATTAGTCATAAATTACATAGCAAAGAAGTCCTTCTGCCGCCGGGCCATCGAGCTTACCTGTAAGTTGACTTTCATTTCACTTTTTGGCAAAAGTTAAAATAGTGGAGAGCCAAGATAAGTTTCTAATGAAAGCTAATAGATGAGAATGGGAAAGAAAGGAAAATATGTATATATGTATGTATTTTTCTGAGAAATATGTGTGTGTGTTTTGTGTGTGTGTATATATATACATATATATGCACATATATACATATATGGGTTTTTTGCTTTGTTTTTCTGAGATAGGGTCTTGCTATGTAGTCTAGGCTAGCCTCAAACTCGTGATCCTCTTACCTCAGCTGGATCCTGAGTACTGAGTTTATAGTCACTGGCTACCACACCTGAGCAGGATGGATACTTTTAGCATTCAGAATCCTTTCAGAAGCTGGCAAAGAGATACTCAGGTGTTGTCTTATCAATCTCTACTGGCCAGGCTACTGGACATTGGAAGTGAATCTGGTATTAAGAAATAAGCTAAGGCCAGGCGGCAGTAGCACATGCCTTTAATCCCAGCACTCAGGAGGCAGAGCCAGTGGATCTCTGTGAGTTCAAGGCCAGCTTGGTCTACAGAGCGAGATCCAGGACAGGCACCAAAACTACACGGAGAAACCCTGTCTCAAAAAACCAAAAAAAAAAAAAAAAAAAGAAAAAAGAAAGAAAGAAGTCAAGGATACACAATCCCATGAAACAATGAGGAAAAGAAAAACCTTGTGGGTGATGGGAAATGGGGCAGAGGTCAGAGGTTTAAAGGAAGCCACAAAGCAGTGGATATAATCTCCAGCCTCACTTCCTGCTGTCCTGGCCACTAACTCAAAGGACAGTCTGCCAAGTTATTGGAAGGCTTGAATTTTGATGAGTAGGAGTGGGGGTTTCTGGGTTTTTTGGGGGGAAGGGTGAACAGATACAAGTTCCTGAGCAATTTCAGGATCAATGGGCAAAGAGTGCACACATTATCAAATCCATGCTTCTGGTTGTCTATTTGACAAAACTAAATAAAACAAAACAGGACATAGCCCGACGGAATACAGGCTACTGTGAACCAAGACTTATTCGGTGTACAACAGTATTAGCTACTTTTCTAACCAACGTTTTTCACCTTTAGGTGTCTCTGTTCTTGCATTTAAAAACTGTTCATTTAGACAGTTTTCTCCTCTATTGGGGAACACATTGAGTAATTTTTTTCCAGGAGTGAACATCTCCCTTCCAATATGAAGAAGGCTCTTCTCTTTCAAAGGTTGCTCATGTCTCAACTGTAGCCCAGGGGTCATTAAATGCCTCTCCTTCTCTAATGCTGCACATCTGCTGCGTACCTTAGTGCAGTCTACATACTTGCTGTAGATAGTCTTATTCTCCAACCCCCGGAAGTATTCATTTCAGCCTGATGTCTTAGAAAGAGATGCCACATGCCACATGTACAAGAACAGTTTATTCTCTGGATATTTCCTGTGGTTTTATTTCTCTTCTTCCCTGACTGGCATGGGAGGGTAGGGGAGATGTCCGGATGGCTCTTTCCTATACCATAAATAGGGATACGTTATCCATGGATAACCCCTTTAAAGTCAAAAGCAGACTTTTTCTGCACGCATCTCAGTGTGGACAGCTGCTATTGTAAGAAAGGGAAGAGACGTGTGGATCATTTTTATAGCTGTTTGTAGATGAACTTACCTTGAAGGATTAATTTTATTCACCCCAATGGCAGTAGAATGAAGTATAGACTTTTTACATGAGTACAAAGTAGGGAAACTGTGTAACTATGACACAGGACTTCCCATATACTTCTGCCTCTATTTAGCGGAAGAGAGCATGATGCTAATTCTTACTCACACGATTACTCCTTTGTAGTGCACAGCTTGGGAGTGAGCGAGGAGCTGCAGAATAAACTAGAAGATGTTGTGATCGACAGAAATCTTCTAATTCTGGGAAAAATTCTGGGTGAAGGTAAGCAGCTTTAAAGCCTTTCTTTTTAAAATGTGAGACAAGGAGCAGTTGAGGATTTTTTTTTTAAATGTGTATTCATTGAATAAAATACCGATTTTATGACTTGGCATTATAATGCAAATAATTCTTCTTTGGACCTTAAAATGAAAGAGGAGAGTTTTGAAACTCAGATCTGACAGATGTCAGAGGCATCTGAAGTCCCTGGAACTGAGTAAGTTTTGGAAGTACAAATTCCCTTCCTTCATTACAAAGCATGTGATTCATTGGTTATTATTTTTTATTATTATTATCTATTGATTGATCGGAGTTCTATGCATTTAAGGTATTGACCTACTTCTTCAGTTGATGAAAATATGCGCTTAAATTTTAAAATTGTTTTCAGCATAAATGATAGTGTTATTAAATTTGTGCTTTGGGCTGGGGATGTAGTTCAGTGGTAGCGTGCTTGCCTGACATGTACAGAGCCCTGAGTTCTAGCTCTAGCACTTGGGGGTAAAAAAGACAGTCTTGTGATCTTCCCCTCTAAGTATCTTGGGTCAGTTATAATGGTTGGTGAAGGGACAAGCTGAGCGAAGTCTGACCACTCAAGGTCATCATACCAGTGCGCACCCCTGCTGTGCAGGTGTCTGAGCAGGCCCTGCCCGATGTCTGTGGATGAGTCACTCCAGGACCACGCAGCTCTGCATTTCTGTGGTCAGGAGGGCATCTGCACAGCATCGCATGGATGTTGCTTCACTTCACAGGAGAGTTTGGGTCTGTAATGGAAGGAAATCTGAAGCTGGAAGATGGGGCTTCTCAGAAGGTGGCCGTGAAGACCATGAAGTGTGAGTTTCCAGCGTGGCACCCATTCTTCCGGGGTGGGCAGTTACCTCAACATCAGGTGCTCCGTGTGGAACAGTGTTGTACTCTGGTCTCAGTGGCTGATGGGCCCCGAGGCAATGTGGGAGCATGGTCACCCGCAGAAGTACATGATGAGCTCTCTGTGTACACGTGCCTTGTACGTTCTTCATGCTCAAAGCAACAATTGTCCCTTCCACCAACTCTACCAATTTTCTCCCTCACCCTCCATTATCTAGTACAGCTACTGATCCCCATGAATTCCTGAGGCCAGGGGATCTAGTGTTAGTATCTGACCCCAGGGATTGGTCTGACTGATCTCTAGGATAGTGGGGCCACTTCCTCAGAATAGTTCCCTCACGAATTCCATCATGCTGGTTATCTAAGATTGAAAGGGTAGCCTCTGGCTTCAGAACCTCCATGTAATTCAATAGTAGAGTACTCACCTAGCACACACAATGGGTCCAATCTCAAGCACTATGGAAGAGAAAATAAAAACTAGGGCATGCCAAAGAGAGCCTGTTAGACTCTTAACCAAGAGCCCTTGACATTGTGACCAAAGATTGACGTCATCCACAGGGTGACACAGTCATTCATGAGTGCTGTTTTCCTGAGGGGACATAAAATTGATTATGTGGGGGAATAAATACATGTTTCAAACTTACTAAAAAAAGACTCCTGAGTCCCCACTTGCCTGGGGTTGGCCCTTTGGTAAGGTTTACAGGCAGACCTCTGTCCCTACTTTCTGTTAGGTCCCCTGGTGCTCTGTAGCAAAGGGAAGCCGTGAGGAGGAAGTGACAGACATGTTATCAACATAAAGGTTTTAAAACACTTTTTCTAAGTTTTCTGTACCTGGATGAGATAAATAGATAGTAAACCCTTAGAACAGTACAGACCCTGGCTAGGTACTCTCCGGCCATTTCAGTCACTAGTTACACCCTATTAAAGAAATCCCTCAAGACAGGCTTGGCCTTGTGTTTTGTCTGTTCTTGATTATAGTGAGATATAGATAAAATAAAATTTATCATCTTAACCATTTTTAAATGCATAGGCCAATGGCATTTAGCATCTTCATGTTGCCATGGATGCATCACCACCACCCAGCTCTTAAATGGTCCATCTTTTCAGACTGAAACTCTACACCCCCCATCCCCTCCCCCACCCAGGAAGTGACCATTCTACTGTCTGTCTGGTTTGTCACTCCAAGTACTGCTTGCAAATGCAACCAAACGGGATTCAGTCTCTCGGGACTGGCTTGTTTCAGATAGCATAATATTGAATTTATTTTTTTTAATTTTATCACATTGACTTATTTGTTTGTGTGTGTATATGTGTGCGCACACTTGGACCATGGCACGTGTGTAGAGATCAGATGATAACTTCTGGGTGTCTGTTTTCTTCCACCATGTGGGTTCCCAGGGATCAAATTCAGGTTATCAAATTTTGGGGGCAAGTCCTTTATCCACTGAGCTGTCTTGATGGGCTAATATTGAATTGTAAATAGTTCTCTTAAGTTGGTTACATTTCAAAAGTTTGGTGTGAAGTGTACCCAGCTCACGGGCATGATTTAACAAATAGTCACTATGGACCTGGGCATGCATGCATCCATAGCAATGGGGGGCGGGGGAGAGGTAATTGTGACAGATCAGTTGGAAATTACTTTGGATTTAGGGAGATTTTTTTTTCTTATTAAAATTAAAAGTCTATTAAATTAACATTTTAAGACCAGTTTTAGGTTCGCAGAACAACAAGGCAGAAAGTACAGTTGCTATATGTCCCCCATCCTCTCACATCTTTAGTGTAATGAGCAACTGTCTTTCGTGAGACTATTGTTCAATTGGTGTGCTCACCTCATGTGTCATCTACTGAAGTTCTTTGTTTTCACTTGTGTTTGCTGTTGGTCTTGCATAGCTCTACGAGTTTGACAAATGCGTGAGTGGCCTATGTTCCCATCACACTGAACAGTTGTGGCCTGAAAATCCCTCAGGTTTCCTCTTTGGTTTTCTCTTCTCTCCTCCCAACCCCTAAAGTCTATAAGTATTCTTGCCTGTCGCTATAGTTTTGCCTTTTCCTGATTTTAGGAGTTTTTATTTTTGTTTGATTTGTTTGTTTGGTTTTTTGTTTGCTTTTAGAGACAGGGTCTTGCTATTTAGCCCAGGCTGGCCTCTGAGTCCTCCTGCCTCAGCTTCCCCGAGGGTTAAGAATGCGCCGTGAAGCCTGGTGTGGATTGTAGTTTTACTGGACAAAAGTGCTATTTCTGGTCCCCTCCTCTAACCTGAAGACATTGATCAAGCCCTGCATTTTCCATCTGCTCCTCTAGTGGACAACTTTTCTCAACGGGAGATCGAGGAGTTTCTCAGTGAAGCAGCGTGCATGAAAGACTTCAACCACCCAAACGTCATCCGGCTTCTAGGTACCTCAGGGAGATGCCAGAGTGAGGCTGGGAGGGACCACTGTGTGCTGAAGAGGAAAAAAGAAAAGTTTTGGTGTAGAGAGGTTAATACTAAAAATCATAACCCTGGGTTCATCCTACCTTCTGAGACTGAGAGTAAAAATGGATTTGTGTTTTCTGGGTGTCAACGGAATTAGAGATAGAGCGTCCACAGAAATTAGAGATTGTCAGTTAAAATAGTGCCCAGTGACTCAAAGGCAAGACACAAGAGCTAGTCACATGATAGTCTTTGTGGGATGGAGGCTGTGAATTGAAAACCAGTGAAGTAAAGCCATAAACCTAGACATTTCTCTAAATAGTCTTTGAGAAACAATTTATGAACCAACTTGTGAGTCATGGCACAGCACACTGACTATTCCATAAACACAATTTAATGAAATTTGGCTTTATATAAATATCCATGTTAAAAAAATACAGACATGGGTATCTGTGCATGATGTGCAAGGGACAATATTCTGAGACAGAGAAGCAATCTAAAAATGCTGGCCTGTTTCTTCCCTGCCCTTTGCCTTGGTCCATAATAAACCGTTCAGTGATCTTTCAGAGAAAGCTGTAGAAATGCAAAAGCTAAGGTTTGGATAAAATCTAATGTCAATTGTTTGCAGTTGGTGGATTTAGCAGACTAGGCGAGACATTCAACTTTGCTTGACACGTTACACTTTGTAAGTCTAGGATCAGGTGACCAGCTCATTCTAGAATTCCATGCTAAAGCATTGTAACTTCAGTCACTGAAAGTTCAGGAGGGGTTTTACCTGTAAGTCCTCAAAAATACTTTAATAACTTTAAACATCTGGTTGCAGTAGACCTCTTCATAGGAGTACTTAGCTAATTTGCCCCCAGATTCTCTGAGGTCTGTACCCCTCAGTTATTCAGCCTAACAAAAACAAAACACAAAACCCCTTTGGTTTCTAATTGTCTGTTCTTGTGACAGATTGAGTTTTGAGAGTTCTCTTGCAAACACTAGCCTAACATGAAAGAGAGAGAGAGAGAGAGAAGGAAGGAAGGAAGGAAAAAAGAAAAAGAAAAAGAGTCATACAGTTTGCAGGTGTTACATATGCTAGAATCCACTGTGAAAGCTCTGAGCCTGTGATTTCTTCACCTCTTGACCTGCTAGCACATGGCTCCAATTTGGCCAGTGGGCCTCCAGGGTTTATGTGTTCATTGTGTTCATACCTAACAAGGGCTCTTTGTAACTGGTCCTGTTTTCAATTTCAGGCGTGTGTATAGAAATGAGCTCTCAAGGCATCCCGAAGCCCATGGTGATTTTACCCTTCATGAAATACGGAGACCTGCATACGTTCCTGCTATATTCCCGGATAGAAACAAGACCAAAGGTAAACAGGCCACTTGTGCTGCCTCTCAACTGTTCCTGAAGCTTTCGTGACAACTTGGACAACCCCAGGGTCTCTGAAAATGCAGAGAAGGACGCTGGCCTTGGATCAGAGTTCACTGTACACCCCCTCAACAGGCCTATGAATGAGTCTTTATCCTTGTTCACGGTGGGAGGCCAGGTGGTCCCACAATCTTGGGCCAAAGTCTCCTTGACTGCAGCCTATGGGGCCTTTATTCATCACATTCTGGTGAAGGCAGCTCTCCTAAAGAGATGCGTTTTGTTTATTTGAGGTAAGTTCACATTATAGCCCAGGCTAGCCTCCTGAGTGCTGGGATCACAAGCTTGTACCACCACACCCAGCTGTCCTAAAGTAAATTTTAGAGCCCTTCTTGGAGTCATGGGTTTCAGCCTTTGAAGTGTAAAATATTCGTTTGTGACTGAATCATCTTGTGGTCCTCACTACGATGGGTTGCAGGCAGATATGGCAAGGCGAGAGGGCTCAGCTGCCATCCTTGTACTCCGTTACCCCCTTACCCCCTGAGGACTGCACAGCCTTTGCAGTTTGGGTTATACCCAGAAAGCTAATAATGGGTCATCTCAGAGATTCAGGAGCATGAATTTAAAGGCTTGTCCTGGCTGGACGGTGGTGGTGCACACCTCTAATCCCAGCACTCAGGAGGCAGAGGCAGGTAGATCTTTATGAGTTCAAGGCCAGCCTGGTCTACAGAGCTAGTTCCAGGACAGCTAGGGCCGTTACACAGAGAAACCCTGTCTGGAAAAACCAAAAAAAAAAAAAAAAAAAAGGCTTGTCCTCTTTGGGGTCAGCTTTTACTATGGACTTCAAAGATTGTAGATTTGGGGATCCTATGATGGAGACATTGCCGTGGGCCTCCTTGTGAAGTGAGCACCGTGTTCCCCTCTCATGTTCCCTGTGGGCAGACCTGTGCCTATGAGCAGGAGCTGTGATTTGTGTCCATGGCATACTCAGGCTGGTCCATCACTCCTCTGAGATGGCAGCATCGCCACAGGCACCCACAAAGGGAAAACATGGGGCTGACCTCTATCAGGACTCACCCTAGGTTAGGACAGAATTTGCTGTGGGCCGGCAGTCCCTAAGTCATTGCTGCCAAACGGTGCAGCGGTGGGAAGGAACTGTACCAACCAGTTGATACCAGGGCATGCTCTAACACAGGCATCACTGTCCTCTTAGCTGCCACCAACAGCAGAACTCTGCTGAGGGCAGTTACAGTCTTTCATGTGTCATGCTTTGGCTGTTATGTCTGAGAACACTTTATTAACCCCTTAGTTAAATTGTTTTATTTTTCCCTGCTGCTTCCTTAAAACTGTTCAGTTTTACATGATTTATTTGAGTATTCATTTGGGTCAATTTTTGTAGAATGTCTGATATTTAGTTCAAGGCACTTTCTTTTTGTATTACTACTACTACTACTACTACTACTATTTTGCCCAGGGAATCTTAAAGCCCAAGCTGACCTCAAACTCCCACTCACTATATAGCTAAGAAGGTCCTTTAACTTCTGATCCTCCTGTCTCTGTTTCTGCCTCTGGAGTTCTGGATTACAGATGTGTACCACCGTGTCCCATTCCTGTGATGCTGGGCATTGAGCCCAGGGCTACTTGCATGCTTTATAAACACTCTAACCAACTAAGCCACATCCTGACTCTAAGGTTCCTTTTTGGTTGGTTAGTTTTGTATGTAATTGGTCATCATTTATGAAAAGGCCACCTTTAATCTACTAAATTGTTTTCACACCTCTATCAAGAACTTGACAGGCTGCACACCATGGGTCTGTTTCTGAGCCCTCCCTCTGATCCATTAAACTGTCTGCCCATCCTCTGTCCCTACACCATTGACTCGAATACTGCAACCCTTCTGTAAGTTTTAACACTGTCGAGTGTGCTTCCCACTCTATCCTGCTTCTTTACATTCCCCTGCAGTTCCCCGACTCCCCCATCCTCCATTCCACCCCACCCTCAGCACACTTTAATAGTTCTGCTTCCAATGGCCAAAGTTCTGCTGTCATCTTTTATTCTTTTTTTTTTTCTTCTTTTTTTTTTTTTTTGGTTTTTCGAGACAGGGTTTCTCTGTGTAGCTTTGCGCCTTTCCTGGGACTCACTTGGTAGCCCAGGCTGGCCTCGAACTCACAGAGATCCGCCTGGCTCTGCCTCCCGAGTGCTGGGATTAAAGGCGTGCGCCACCACCGCCTGGCCATCTTTTATTCTTTTAAACAAAACAACAACTAAGGAAAGCAAGTGCAGAGTATTTTCTCGACTGATTTTTTTCCCTTTGCAAAAGTACAGGGTACAGGTACTCAGTGGTAGAGACTAACTCCCGGGTGTGACAGATGAAAAGGAATATATTTTTACACTCTGATAGTTTGTAGCCTGCGATAAAGGTGGAAGACACAGAGTTCAGAGAGTAGCTGGCACACCGGGCTTTTTTCAGGATGCTGCTTTGCTCAGTCAGTTCCCTCGGCATAAAGACCTTTTGTTCCAACTGCCGTCATCTAAGATTAAGTCTCAATGAGCTTCTGAACTGGGCCTGGATTCTGGGCTCCAAGTGTCACTGTCCTTGGCGTGGACAGTGTCCCTGGAGGTGTGCAGGACAGACAGGCAGATGATAAGCACCACCTCAGCATCTTACCGAGGATGGCAGCTAGGATGGCGTGCATCAAGCAGAAATGTGCGTCTGCTCTAGAGCTTTGCGGAAGGGAGCAGTTCTGGCTGGAGAAGCTTTAATAGTCTGCGCTGCCGTGCAGAAATGAAACAAGGGAAGAGAAGCATTCGACCAGGATGGGGGCGAGAGATCAGAGAGCACCCATGTTGTTGGAACCTTTGGTTTTCTCCTGGGGCAATTGTAGAGACCGCAAGTTGTCTCTGGGGGCAAGGGCAAAGCAGGAGAGGATGGACAGAGAGACACCACAGCAGAGGAGGATGGACAGAGAGACACCACAGCCGAGGAGGATGGACAGAGAGACACTTCAGCAGAGGAGGATGGACAGAGAGGCACCACAGCAGGGGAGGATGGACAGAGAGACACCACAGCAGGGGAGGATGGACAGAGAGACACCACAGCAGAGGAGGATGGACAGAGAGACACCACAGCACGGAAGGATGGATAGAGAGGTCTACAGCAGGGGAGTTACCCTGGGGTTGCACTTTGGGCTCTGCAGGAAGGAAGTTGGCTTTATTAGCATGTAATATCCAAACCAACTCAGAATCACCTTTAAAGAGGAGCTACAGATTCGAGTCTGGTGTCACAGGCCGTGGTCCCAGCTACTGAGGAGGCTGAAGCAGGAGGATCACAAGCAGAAGGGCAGCCTGGGCTACAGAGTCGGGCAGCCTGGGCTACAGAGCCGGGGTACCATTGCTCCAGAGGCAGCCAGTTCTGACTGCAGCATTGGGTGTCTGGCATCACCCCACTTGGACTTTACATCTGCGGTGGTACTGCGCTTGGTTATAAGATGGCAGCAGCTGCTTAAATGTTACATGCTAGCATCCAGAGACAAAGGGGAGAAGCCCATCCTTTACCTCTCCTCACTCTGGGTCCCTCTTTCTCCCCACCTCTGTGTCCATCTGTCTCCACTCCCCCTCCCTGATCCCTTTTCTTAGAACATTACTTTCTCTGCAACAACTTTATTGAGATACCGCACAATTCTCCCACTTAAGGTGTTTAGAAGGGGGATACGGAGACTGTTAAGTAGATACAGATGCTTGTTACCCAGCCGAAGACCAGAGTTTGATCCCCAGGAACCACATGGTGAAAGAATACGAATGTCCCAAACTAAATAAATGTAATAAAAATCTTAAAGTGTTCAAAAAGAAGGAAAGAGAAAGAAAGAAAGCCACTGTTGGACTTGGTTTTGAGGATGGTGACCACAGAAGACCTCCAAACCACACAAAATATTTTAGTGCCCCCATGGCCCTAAAGAAGAAGACCCACTACAAGTTCCTGGCCATCATGCATGGGTCCATCCATGATGAATTCCCTTCCAAGATCCTCGGGGTTGTAAAATATTGTCCTGAGGGCTAGAGCTGCAGCAGGTAGAGTGCTTGCTGGGACCACTTGGACCCCTGGCTTCTGGTTCCAGCACTGCAAAAACTAGGTGTGCTGGCATACTCCTGCTGTCCCAGCGTCAGGTATAGATGTGAAGGTCACAGGACAGTCTCCTGTACCTGGTACCTATCCCCGCCTTCCACTTCGTTTAATGTGGGGTCTGCTGCTCTCTGCTGAGCACACCAGGCTAGCTGTCCTAAGAGCCTCCAGGCATTTTCCTGTCTCTGCCTCCCATCTCACATTAGGAGAGCTGGGACTGTGGGCTCCTGCTGCCTTGCCCAGCCTTATGTGGGTCCTGGGGATCCAAACTCAAGCATTCACCCTTGTATCACGGTGCTCTTCCCAGTGAACCGTCTTCCGGGGCTGAACTGTCAATTCAGTTTCATCAATGGTTGTGTCCACGCCTGTCCTCTGACTTCGCCACTTTAATTAGAGTGCCTTTTAGTAAGTCTGAGCCTTTTATCTTCTTCAAGCCTGTTGTAGATATTCTGAGCTCTGTGGATTTCCATATGGAATTTTAGAATCAACTCGTTCCAGTTTACAAAGAAGCCGGCTGGCACTGGGACAGGGCTTATGTGGAATATAGAAGTTAAGCAGTATTGACATTATAATAATATTAAGTTTTCTAAGCCATGAGTAGAGGATAATTCCTTCATTATATTTGAGTTTTTACATTGTCTCCAGCACTGTGAGAGAACGCATATGATAAGTTGCATGCTTCTTTGTTAAATTCGTTCCTGAGTGTCTTAATTTTATTGTGGCTTAATTGTTTCCTTTGCTTCCTTCCTTTCAGATTGTTGTCCCTAGTGCATAAAAATCTCTGTAGCGACATCTGCAATCCTCTTGCCTCATTTTTAAATTGTTCTGTGCAATTATTTTGTAAATAACTTTTAGTCACAGACTCCAAGAATAATGTAATTATTTCAGGAAAAAATATCACACATTAGTAGTATCTTCTATTCATACAGCTCACTAATGACAATAGGGTTTGCTGTTTCAAGGACCCAAACCCCATCCTGGAAATAAGCATCCAGAAAACTAAATGCCCTAAATACAGAGAGAAGAGGCAAAACTTCCATGTTTGATTCGTTTACCTTTTTCGTAACTCTGTTACTTAGGGTAAAGATAATTATGGCATTTTGGTTTCATGTGCACTATATAATTGGCATGTGTCATGGTCGGGAAATATGTCATTAAAAGTGTAGTATTCAAGCTTATAGCTGAATGCTAGAGAACCTGTCTAACACAAGGCCCCGAGTTCCATCCTCAGTACCACAGGAAACAAAACAAAATGCAGTGCCCTTGTGAATACCACTCTAGAGACCTCACAGTCCTTGGAGAAGGAGCCATGACAAATCCAATGTTCTGCGGTGGGGTGGGGGTGGGGGTGGGGAGCGTGGACAAACCACTCGTGATTCATGGGGGCCGGGGGTACTGTGGACAAACCACTCATGATTCATGATTGCCCGGAACATGTAGTCAGCCTTTCTCTAGTGCATGACTGCAATAAAACATTAAATTACTACTTGGAGATCTTCATTAGTCATCATCCTTAGAACCAATTCTAAATGCCTGGAAGGCCCCCGCTCTCTGCCTCTCTCCCTCCCTGCCTCCCTGCCTCCCTCCCTCCCTGTCTCCCTCCCTCCCTGCCTCCCTCCCTCCCTCCCTCCCTCCCTGCCTCCCTCCCTGCCTGCCTCCCTCCCTGCCTGCCTCCCTGCCTGCCTCCCTCCCTCCCTCCCTCCCTCCCTGCCTGCCTCCCTCCCTGCCTCCCTCCCTCCCTGCCTCCCTCCCTCCCTCCCTGCCTCCCTCCCTCCCTGCCTGCCTCCCTCCCTCCCTGCCTCCCTCCCTGCCTGCCTCCCTCCCTCCCTCCCTCCCTCCCTCCCTCCCTCCCTCCCTGCCTCCCTGTTTTCCTGTTTTTCTTTTAGGAATTTTTTGTTGTTGTTTTTGTTTTGAGACAGGGTCTTATTTTATATCCCAGGCTGGGCTCAAATTCTTAGAAAGTCTCCTGCCTCAGCCTCTCAAGTGCTGTATAAAAGGAATGAGCCACAACACCTGATATTTTTTATCTCTCTCTCTCTCTCTCTCTCTCTCTCTCTCTCTCTCTCTCTCTCTCTCTCTCACTTTGTGTGTGTGTGTGTGTGTGTGTGTGTGTGTGTGTGTGTGTGTGTGTGTGTGTGTTAGGGGCTGGTAGTAAACCCAGGGTTGCAGGGTTGTGTGTCTACCTCTGCCACTGAGCTGCATCCCCAGCCCACCGGTGACATGTTTACTCACATAGCAGTTTTGTCTGATTTTTACAGCACAGAGAAAACATTAGGTGGCTGAAATCTAGAAAGGCCCTAGAGAGAAAAAATAGAATTTCTGAATGTGTACTTGTATTTCAGTTCAAAGATGAGGGGTGAAGACCTGCCCCTAATTGTTAGTGTCTAGAAGAAGAAAATTATCTTTCAAATTATCTCAAAGTAAAATGAGCTGTCTTAGCATATGTGAGGCCCAGAGACCAACCTTGGTAGTGCCACACACAACAAATAGAAAAGGAGGAGAAGAAAAGGGGGAGGAGGGAGAGGGGAGGAAGAATAAAAAAATGATAGCAAGAGTACAGAATTAGAACCAGCTCCTAAAAGTTGGTTTTTCCCCTCCCAAACATCTGACCCTTTCCCAGAGTATCTCCCCTTCCCTCATTAAAACTCGGCCCTTGAGCCAGGGCGCTGGCTCAGCAGGTGAAGCTTCTTTCCACCAAGCTTGACAACCTGAGTTCATTCCCTGGGCCCCACATGATGGAGGGAGAGAACTGACTGCCGCAGGTTGTCCTCTGACCTCCAAATGTGTGCGGTGGCCCAGGTGACCCCTCCCTCCCTCCCTCCCTCCCTCCCTCCCTCCCTCCCTCCCTCCCTCCCTCACCCATACAAAGCAAACAGGCAGATGTAAAAGAAAATTTAAAGCAAACAATAAGGCCCTCCTCCCTCGTCCTCTCTGCTGGCATGGTCCTCTGTCCCGGTGCCTCTCGGGATGTGAAGGCTCACCTTGACCTCATGATCAGTGAAAAGATACAAAATGTTTTTCATCTGAAACACTTTTAATAGCAAAGAGAATGTAATGCTTTTCAAGAGGCTTTAGAGAGTGTCTTCTTTATTCCTGTTTTGAAGCATTATTTGCATTATTTCTGAGCCAGGTCATCCCAGCACTGGGGAAGCTGAGGCAGGAGGATCTTGAGTTGTAGTTGTTATTTATTAAGCGGCGCAATGTTATTCATTAAGCGGCGCTTTTTACCATGCGAGAAAAGCCGTGAGGTACAACAAAACCCACTATAAGAGTGATCACGCAGCACACCGTTGGACTGCATAGGATGTAAAGCCCTGGGATGACTAAGCGTCTTGCCAGGTATGCACAGTCATGGGGGAATGGCTAGGAATTCTAACAGTAGTCCTGCCTGAGCTATATAGAGAGAACCCTTCTCAAAGCAAAATATCCATCTTTAAAAAGTTAAAGACACAGAAAGGAAAGATTTCTTTCCTTGTGCCACTGCTCTAACTTAGGGAATAAGAACACCATTTCCAAGGCTGCAGAGATGGCTCAGCAGCTAAGAGCACTGGCTGCTCTTGCAGAAGACCCAGGTTGGAGACCCAGCACCTACATGGCAGTTCATGACCATCTGTGATTCCAGTTCCAGGGGAATCTGACACCCTCTCCTGACCTCCTTGGGTGCTAAGCACACACAGGGTGAACATACATACATTCAGACAAAATGCTTATACACATAAAATAATAATAAATACATCACTGTTTCCCCTTGGGTGAGAGTAACTTGCCAGCTGTTCCTTTTAAACCATAATGTCTCTTTTTTTGTTTCCTCCTGTTAGGTCATCCCCCTGCAGACACTGTTGAAGTTCATGGTGGACATTGCCCAGGGAATGGAGTATCTGAGCAACAGGAATTTTCTTCATCGGGATTTAGCAGCTCGAAACTGCATGTAAGAACCTAGGCCATCCTGGGGAGGTCCGGTCACTAGACTTCATAGCCTTGAACTTCACAGGGCGGGGAGTGACTTGCTGTTAGATTATAAAGGACAGATGGCTTGGAGATGGGATGGAGTGCCTTGCTTTGGATGGTATTTCTATCACTCTGATTTTGACTAGGCTCTTCCTTGGGGATTTTCTATGTCTCTGCCTCTAAGAATCTGGCTAGTGTCCAAAGCTCTCTCTGTTTTTTTCTTGTCACTCAGCTAGGGGCACTAGGCATGATCTTTGTGGTCTTTTCCAAAAGCCATCAGCTGGTTTTGGACTCTCAATAACATGTAAGTCAGCTAACCATAGTATAACTTGAATGGCAATAATGAAAATCCTAAAGGCCGTTTCCCCAAGCCCTTGTTGACACACAAAGAAAGCTCTCTCCTCAAAGAGGGTAAGAGATAGTGTATTCAAGAGCCAAATATGAGGGACCATGGCCTGAGAATACAGATTCAACTACCTCAAATATCACATCCCAAAATGGTAACTGTTTCCAGGTTATTATAGTAACATGACAAAGAGAAGCAAAATCCACACACTTTCAAATACATTGGTGGGAACATCAGGTAGGTGGGTAAATAAACTTCTGCTGTGGGCCTCAGATGCTATCTGATGACAGTTTTGGCCTTGGTTGGTGGAAAGCTGTCTGCTAAGTTAATACATCCAGAGGTTTCATCTGATAATTGCAGGACCTTAGGTCAGACACAGAGGTGGGCAGAGAATGGCAAGTTAGTGAGCTAAAGATAGCTCAAGATATGCTGTAGTTAGACTCTGCCCTGCGACATTCCAGCCGCTCCACAATCACTGAACTTCTAACCAGATAATCCTCCTTCTAGAAGATCCAACGTGAGGTGTAGTTTCTTTCCAGGAACTTGTATTCATATCTACCCCATACCTGTGATAAAATTTGGTACCTTAAATACCTGGAAGCTTTTCCGTCACAGCAGATGACGAATTACAAGAATTTACATAAGAACTTTGGACTTGAATTTTCTCCATTTCTTTACCCTGCTTCAACAGAACTATTACCTGATGTCAGTCTTCAAATACCGTAACTGTTCCTTGATTTTAACTTCCCCATTGTGAGATGAGGGAGTGGCCCATGTGTGCTTTTCTTGGTCAGAGATTGACAGTAGAGATGGCCACTCGCTCTTCTCAACTGCCCCCTCCCCCTTTTACTTCAGTTTTTAAAGCCCCAGGGGATTTCAACTGTGGATAGAGAATCATGAAATGTTATTTTTCTTTTAATATGCCCTTCGTGTTTTTCCTGCCAGGTAGGAGGACTGCCTGTCTAGTTTGCCCTAAACTGAAAGTATGAGACTTTTGGGTGTGCATACCTGTACTCCCAACACTCAGGAGACGGAGGCAGGAGGAGACCACAGTTCACAGTCATCCTCAGCAGCATGGCAAGTTTCAGGCCAACCTGGGCTACATGAGACCCTGTCTTTAAAAAAAAAACAAGTTAATGTCAGACAAACAAGGATAACTCAGTCACCTCCCGCCTCTCCCCTCCCCTTCCCTGTCTCCTCTCTGTCTCCTCTCTCTTCCTTTTCCTCCTTCTTATCTGTGACCTGTTTTACTGTTTACCTTGACCTTTCGTTGCAGTTTGTTTCCCTTTAACTTTCCGGTTCATTCCTTCGACAGCTGGCTACATTAGCAGGAAGGCCTTCGGCGCCATCTTTCAGTGCCCAGTGTCCCAGACTTCACCTCCTCTCCTGCCTCCCCTCCACAAGGCCTTGCGTAGTCCGTGAGGCCGGTGCTGCTTCCAGACACCAGGCAGGATGGCCATGGCCTGATGCCATCCAGGAAAGGACCAGGAGGAGCTAGTGACCCTCCATCCTGCTCTGCCGCATCTCTGTCCTCCCAGTGCCTCCCCACTGTGCCTGGGTGCCTTTGCTGGACCAGCCCCACACAGGCCAGAGTGATGGAATACAGTAGTGTCTAGTCCTTATTATTTGCTGTGTCTTTGATCTTAAAGCAGCTCCCTACTCAAGCTCATGGGCTTCGTGTCTTCTTCCTTCCTTCCTTCCTTCCCTTCCTTCCTTCCTTCCTTCCTTCCTTCCTTCCTTCCTTCCTCCCTCCCTCCTCTTCCTTCCTTCTTTCTTTCCTTCTTTCCTTCCTTCTTTCCTCCTTCTCCCCCCTCCTTCCTCCTTCTCTCCCCTCCTTCTTCCTTTTCCTTCCTTCATTCTTCCCCCTTCCCTTCCTCTCTTTCTCCTTTTCCTGTAAGGGTGCCATGAACCCCAGGCTGGCCTTGAACTTGCCAAGCAGCTGAGGATGACCTTGAACCTTTGTTCTTCCTGCCTCCACCTCCCAAGTGCTGGGATTAGAAGCATTCACTACTATTCCCATTTATGCTGTGCTGGGAGTCAAACCAAGCGTCTGCTAACTGAGCCCCATCTATAACCACTCCGTGTCTTTAGCTACTTTTCACGCATCTGATACCTGGGATTAAAAGCTCTGCTCCCGAGGTTGCTGAGGACCTCAATTCACTCTTCACAGGTTGCGCGATGACATGACTGTCTGTGTGGCCGACTTTGGCCTCTCTAAGAAGATATACAGTGGTGATTATTACCGCCAAGGCCGCATTGCCAAAATGCCTGTGAAGTGGATCGCCATAGAGAGCCTGGCAGACCGAGTCTACACAAGCAAAAGTGACGTGGTGTGTACACAGCTTTGATTGGACAAAGATGGGGACACACTGAAAGAAATGGTGGAGATTGACGATGCAGGGAACTGCACTCTGATAAACTGAGGGCCAGGAGCATGCTCGGACCATGCTTTTATTTAACGGACTTACTCATTCATTTGCTTTTTGTGGTCCTGGGGTTGACCCTAGGCCTCACACATGCTATGAGCACACTAATATAATTTCTCAGCCTCCCTCTTTTTTACTCTTAAGATTTAATTTTAGGGCCGGGCGGTGGTGGCACACACCTTTAATCCCAGCAATAGGGAGGCAGAGCCAGGCAGATCTCTGCGAATTCGAGGCCAGCCTGGTCTACAGAGTGAGATCCAGGACAGGAACCAAAACTACACAGAGAAACCCTGTCTCGACAAACTAAAAAAGAAAAAAGATTTAATTTTATTTTCATTATGTGTATAAGTATGTGGATCTGTATGTGGATATGTGCACATGTATGCAGGTGTTCTCAGAGGCCAGAGGCATCAGATCCCCTGGAGTCTGAGCCAATCACAGGTGATTATGAGTCAAAATTGAATGCTGGGGACCAAGAGTAGAAAGTGCTCTTAACTACTGAGCCATCTCCATCCCCCTTTACTTTTTATTAATTTTTATGTGTATGGATGTTTGGCCTCTTTGTATGTCTGGGCACCATGTGTGTGCCTAGTGCCCATGGAGGCCAGAAGACTGTCAGATCCCCTGGAACTAAAATTACAGATGGTTGTGAGCCCTCATGTGGGGGCTGGGAATTGAACCCTGGTCCTCTGGAAGAGCAGACAGTGATAGTAATCACTGAGCCGTCTCTCCAGTCTTCTATACCTTTTATTTTTGAAGCAGGCTCTGTCTATGTATCCTAGAAAGTCCTTGAACTCCCCGGTCCTCCGGCTTCAGCATCTTCGGTAGCTGCGATTACAAGTGTGCACCGTTATACCTGGCTTTTATATCTTGTAGAAAGTCTAACTCTGCAAATAGTCGATTGTGGTGAAATGCTTACATTCAGAACCTATGCTTCGCATCTGACCTTCAGAAATTCTCTCCGGTTTCTTTGCTACAAATGAGTGACTTGTTGCCCGTAACTAAGATATTCACATTAAATTGAATGAGTTCATTTGGTAGCCTTTGGACCCCATATGCTATGAAGAAGATGCTGTGTAATTATAGCCTTGATCCGAGCTTGGGGAAAGAAAATACTCCACAGCAAGAGTATAATCACGAAGTAAGCAGTGATGATATGGGATGAGGCTCTATCTGCCTTTAGCCAAGTTTCCCAGAACAGCTTTGGTACAATTGGGGAACTATGGGGCTTCAACCCCGTGTGTTGCTGTGTTGGGAGAACAGTGGGCCACAGACATAATTACCAGCTTTGTGCTTCCTCATCAGGGCTTTAAAGAAATGACCTTTCCCCATGAAACAGTCCATTCAGCCTTTGTGGAAAGACTTTTGTCCTAACTTCTTGTGGCTTTGTTCTCAGTGGGCTTTTGGCGTGACCATGTGGGAAATAGCGACGCGGGGAATGACTCCCTATCCTGGAGTCCAGAACCACGAGATGTATGATTACCTTCTCCACGGCCACAGGCTGAAGCAGCCCGAGGACTGCCTGGATGAACTGTAAGTGAGCATCCCTGTGTCACTGGACTTTCTGCCTGGGGTGGCTACCTGGTTGTGCAGTGACCTGGGAAACATAGGCATGGCTAGTGTAAGCAGGGCCTGCTGTTAGCCAGGAGAGCCTGTGCAGGGAGTCCACTCACAGAAGCCTCCGGCCAGCAGTCATTCCTGATGTAGGTGGTGGTGTATGGCCAGCTCCTGGGAGCCCACTGTGACTCACTTATCCAAAAGCTCTCAACCTCCATCCATGGGCACAGTCAAGACAAGGTACCAGTATGTGTTTCTGAACAACAACGTAAGAACCACTGGGAAGTAGATGCTGCCAATAAATAGGCCTGCTTTATAGTATATGAGGTACTAGGATCCTTCATCCCTTACTTGGAACCCAGTAATCCTTTTCCTCTATAGCATTTCAAACTTACTGGTCACACTTAGGAACCTGGGCTAGTTAGTGCCTTTGAGAGCAAACTGCCTCTCAGAATCGCTTGGGAAGCATTCTGACAATGCATTTGCTTATCCCTATGCCTAGAGGGTGTGGTGCTGCTGGCACGAAGTGGGGCTGGAAATTGTGTGTTTAAAATGTTCCCTGGAGACCTGTGCTTGGCCAGGTGTGAACTCCCCCAACTCCTACCACAAAGCCCTCTCTCAGTCTTCAATGCCACGTACCACGGAAAGACACCCAGGTCTTGGGGTTGTACACATGTGTGGCCATAGCAGCTGGCTTAACCCCTCTGTGCCTCCTATCATCCGCAACAGAGTGTATGTCTCTTCAGAGAACTGTGGTTCTGGACAAAAGCAACTGAAGTGGGGAGGGGGTTGTTTCAGCTCACAGTTCAAGGTGTCCATCGTGGCAGGGAGTCAAGGCAAGAGGAGCTTGGCACAGCCAGTCACATCACACCCACAGTAGGGAAGAACAGAGAGTAAGGAATGCTTGCCGCCCCTCAGGCCCCTTTCTCATACAGCCCAGGATCACCTGCCTAGGGATTGGTTCCGCCTACAGTTAAGACAATCATCCCATGTTGATTAAGGTGGTCAATATCATCTCTCACAACCATGCTCATAGGCTCATCTCCCAGATGCTTATAGAATCTGTCAAGTTGATAATACTAACGATCATGGTGTATTTGCACGTGTGAGGTGCACATGCGTGTGTCATATGTGTGGGTATATGTGGAGACTGGAGATTGGTGTCAAGTGTCCTCTTCAGTTGATCTCCACTTTTATTTTCTGAGGCAGAGTCTCTTGCTGAACCTGGAGCTCATGGGTTTGACTTGTCTAGTTAGCTTGCCCCCAGGCATCCTTACCCACCACATTCTGATGGCTGGGAATAAAGGCCAGCCACTCTAACTACCTGGCTTCTACATGTATGCTGAGGATCCCAATTCTGGTCCTTCTGCCTGCGAGGCAAGTGCTTTATCCACTGAGCCACCTTCCCAGACTCATCAGTTCGAGCTCCCCAAGCACCTTGCTGAACTTTTCAAGACAGTGCCTTGCAATGGTGACATACCCTTTCTCAATGGTGAGGCTCCTTTAAGGACCATGGGCTTGGGATAGTCTCATCATATTTAGTAAGAACATTACAAAAACATAGGCCTGAGCTAGCTCTGTCATGGAGCAGCATGTGGGATGCTGGTGCCAGTGAGTATATGCAAGACCCTCAGGCCCATCCCAAGCGCTGTCTCTGCAGTCTCATTTGGCACCCAGGGCCAGGTTGCTTTGTACACAACATCCTAGGTCCATCTGTGGTTTAAACACTAAGCCAAACACAAGGAGGATTGTTTGGTTCCCAGCCACAGCCTGCTTTGTGGTTGAAGATGTCTAATACTAAACAGAAACGAAGGCTGTAAGTCTCTTGAAAACATCTTAAAAGTCCTGATTCGATTAGTTCTAGGGTTTCACGGTAGTTTTTTAAAGGACTGTGTTAATGAAATGTTGGCTTCTGGAAATGAGGAAGCCTTTCTATGTAGCCACACTGCCCAGGAAGTTTTGTTGTGGTTTCTTCCTTAGCTATCCCCCTGCACCAGCAGAAGCTGACATTTAGCAATGGTCAGTCTGGGTCTGAGTGAGGTCTAAACTGTGTCACACTGTGGTTTTTATGTTTCACTTCAGACTAAAACAAGAGACTGCTGAGCTGGTGTTCTCTGAGAACACTTTTAGGTGGCAGAGTCAGCTCCCCTCCTGTGGCTGGGGACCCAGGTGGTTGTAGACAAGCTGCAGTCCCCATGTTCCTGATGGCTGCATGCCCTGGGCTTGCAGATGTGATGTGGTCAGCAGGCTGGTGAAGCAGGCTTTATTCCTGAGCTTTATGTGTATGCCAGCAAGCAACAGCCTCTCCCAAAGAGGCCTCAGTGCTTCCTTTTCTGGGACATTCTTTTTTAAAAAAGAAAACACAAAATGAATATTCTGAGTTTCTCTGAGTCCAACCACGGTTAGGATGAATGTACTCCTGTGTGCAGCTACTCTTTGGCTGCTTTGAGCTAACTGAAATGTAGCAATGTTGACTGGGGAATGTGGCTCAGTGGTAAGGGAGCTTGCCTAGTGTGCACAAGGTCTTATGTTCAGTCTCCAGTACTGTAAAACAAAGAGATAAGGAAGTGAGAGAAAGATACAGAGGAGGAGGGAGAAGCAGGGAGGACAGACAGACAGAGCTCCGTCACAGAGCCCCTTGGCCCCTACTCTCTAATCCTGCCCTGGGTCACCTCGCCTGTCATGCAGTGTCCAGACTGTCAGTCTTGCTCCTGCTGTCCAGGATGCCACTTTCTGTTATGCTTCAATTGACTTCTGTGGGACATTTCTCGAGCTGAGCTCTTCACGGCCTCCCTGGCCCCCTCGGAACCCTCCCCAGCAGCTGTCTACCGTGGTCCATGACGTGAGACTCCTCCCTTTATCCTCTGGGATGGCAGTCTTATTCCCCACGGGGTCCTGTTGGCCAGTAGTGACTCTTCAGAATTCAGAATTCCTCTCATTGCTGGGCATGATAGCACACACTTTTAATCCCAGCAGAGGCAGGCTGATCTCTGTGAGTTTGAGGTCAGCCTGGTCTATATAGTAAGTTTCAAGATAGCCAGGGCTACATTACAAGAGCCTGTCTGAAAGAAAGAAAGAAAGAAAGAAAGAAAGAAAGAAAGAAAGAAAGAAAAGAAAGAAAGAAAGAAAGAAAGAAAGAAAGAAAGAGGGGGAGGGAGGGAGGAAGGGAGGGAAGGAGGGAGGAAGGGAAGGAAGGAAGAAAGGAGAAAGAAAACAAAACAGGGCTGGAGAGATATCTCAGCAATTAAGAACACTGATTATTCTTCCAGGAGACCTGGGTTCAATTCCCAGCACCTACAAGGCAGTTAACAACAGTCTGTAACTCCACTTTCAGGGGATCTGACGCCCTTTTCTGGTTTCTGTGGGCAATGCACACATACGGTACACAGACATTCATTCAGGCAAAACACCCACATATTATACATATAAAGTAAGAATAAATAAAACTTTAAACAAACAAACAAACATTCCCATCTTCTTCCTCTCTCATTGCTGACACTGACATCACAGAAACCCAGGATTTCATTCCCATCATGATGATGTCATGACATAAATACAGTGCAGAACCTTCATCTCCCTTCCCCAAGGCTCCTCCTTCACTGCTTAGACAGCAACCAAAGAGATTCTCCAATGTTATAATCAGAAGCTGGGGTACCTCTGTGGTAGAGAACCTGCCTAGTATGCACGGATGTTACCTAGTATGGTAACATCCTAAGTACCACAGACAGACAACTACAATTATAATGTATACAATCTGGCCATGGATTGCTTCTGGACAGCATCTTCCTGTGGTTTCCTAGCCCCTTATCATATCTTTCAAAGTCATATTTAAGATGGGCATGGTGAGGTATGCCTGTGCAGAAAGGTCAAAAGTTTGAGGCCAGCCCTGGCTATTTAGTAAGGCCCTATCTCATGTATCTCATATATAAAATATTTGTAATAAATAAATGCATATTTGTGACATAGATCACAAAATTATATTTATATTCTCATAAAGTATTAGACATGAAAGGAAAATACATTTCAAGATAGTACTGCTACTATTCTCTATGAAGACAGGTCACTTAGCTCTTTCTTCTAAGAGGTGGGGTAAATGAAAGAGAATTAAACAGCATGGCACAGTAATGAAAAGGATGTTATGTCCCTAAGGACTTAATTTCTCAAAGCCTTTCTGAGCAAACAATTAAGGCTCTGTGCAAAACTGGAGTCGTGCAAATTGACCAGTGCTGTGAAAAACCTCAGAAACAGGAGCAAAGCTTGTTTGTCCGGTCTAAGGGACTAGCTACTGAGAGTGAGTTAGAGAAACTCCTGAGGCGAGGATGGAACAGGAGGACTGTGGGGGGCGTGTCAGGGTGGAGTTCTGGGTTGAGGTCCCACCCTTTGAAGGCTGAAAAGGACACGATCATGTCTGCATGGATGAGCTCTGTGTACTGTGTGAGGACGAACACTTACTAGGATTGACCCAAGGATCTATAGATTATATATAAATGAAAAAATGGAAATTGTGCATTTCTGTTCCTGAGAAGCCAATAATCAGCATGAGCTAGATAATTTAGATTCGGCTCAGTTTTCTTTTCTTTTTTTTAAAGATTTACTTATGTATGTATTTTATGTCTTCAAAAGAGGGCATCAGATCCCAGGGGACTACAGTTAGAGACGGTTGGGAGCCGCCATGTGGGTGCTAGGAGTTGAACTCAGGACCTCTGGAAGAGCAGCCAGTGCTCTTAACCACTGAGCCATCTCTCAGGCCCCTCAGCTCAGTTTTCTTATCCAGTGACATTAATATCAATTTCCCAAAGCAGGGAAAGATCAAAATGAAATGCTGGCGTGGCTCTTTCGCAGCCCGGTAATTCCCAGTTGTCATTTCCTTCCCGTGTCCCTCGACTGTAATCCTTAATGACACTAGACATTGGGGATGATGTTGCCTGGAAGAGAGGAACATCCCCGGTAGAGCTCAGCAGAAAGGTCTTGAGGAACACTTGTGTGATGGACTTGCCCAATCCGAGCCTGATTCCTCTGCTTCCTCCTGCTACCCATGAGCCCAGGACATGTGCTGTAATTTACAATGTGCGGTGGCAGAGCTGTCGGGAAGACCAGAAGGGAGTGACACACACACTACGTACCACTCAGTTACCCATCATGTGCCACTCAAGCTCTGGGTCTTCTTACTTAGTTCACTGGTCCAACCAAATCAGCGGTTTTGGTCACACCTCAGGTTAATGGTATAGACAGAGATTAGCGAACTTGTTTGGTAAATGTCCTAGCTACTTTTCTATTGCTGTGAAGAGACACAAGGACAAAGGCAACTTATAAAAGAAAGCATTTATGGTGGCTCACAACCATCTGTAATGAGATCTGGTGCCCTCTTCTGGCCTGCAGTCATACATGCTGCTGTATACATAATAAATAAATAAATCTTTAAAAAAAAAAAGAAAGAAAGCATTTAATTGGGGACTTGCTTACAGTTTCAGAGATAAGTCCATGACCATCCATAAGCATGAGGAAGAGAGAGAGAGAGAGAGAGAGAGAGAGAGAGAGAGAGAGAGAGAGAGAGACTATTTGGGCTTTGAGTTTCAAAGCCTACCCTCAGTGACACTTCCTCTATCAAGGCCACACCTCCTTAGTCCTTCCCAAACAGTTCCACCAACTGCAGACTAAGCATTCAAATAGATGAGCCTATGGGGGCCATTCTCATTTAAATCACCACAGTAAAGTACCAAATAGGAAATAATTTTGGCTTTGAGGGCCTTTTGTAGCACCAACTCAATGCTACAATCATGGCAAAAGCAGTCACAGACAATAGCACATAATTAGATATAGCTGTGTTCTAATAAAACTTTATTTACAGAGTAGTTTGATTACAAAGCCTGTATGAGAAAAGGATGTTAAATCCTTTTATTTGCAAAAGTTGATATAATTGTCAGATGCATCTTCTATTTTTAGAAACAGGATTTTTTTTTGACAAGAGGCTGAGGAAATGGCTTAGTAGGGAAGAGTACTTACTGAGCAAGTGTGACAACCTGAATTCAATCCACAGCACCTATGTAAAAAGTTTGGTGTAGCTGTGAGTGGCAGAGACATGTGGATTCCTGGGGCTCACTGGTCAGCCAGTCTAGGCCAAACAACAAGCCCCTGGTTCAGTGAGAGACGCTGTCTCAAAGGAATAAAGTAGAGAGGAATAGCGCAATAGACCAGATGCTCTCCCCAGCCTCTATATACACATGCACAAGTACATATAACACACACACACACACACACACACACACACACACACACACACAGAAACATTTAAAAAGTTGAATAACCATTCATTTCCACAAAAAGGTGGAACAAATGCTGATGAAAATAGAATGAAATTGAAGACTAGGTGAGGAGGAAGGGGTGGTGGCACTGAGGGATCTGGGTCTGTGCCAGGTAACACTCACGCGTCTCTGTCATCACCAGGTATGACATCATGTACTCGTGCTGGAGTGCCGATCCCTTGGACCGACCCACCTTCTCAGTGTTGAGGCTGCAGCTGGAAAAGCTCTCTGAGAGTTTGCCTGATGCACAGGACAAAGAATCCATCATCTACATCAACACCCAGCTGCTAGAGAGCTGCGAGGGCCTGGCCGACGGGCCCTCGCTCGCTGGGCTAGACATGAACATTGATCCTGACTCCATCATTGCCTCTTGCTCCCCCAGCGCTGCCATCAGCGTGGTCACGGCAGAAGTTCACGAGAACAACCTTCAGGAGGAAAGATACATCCTGAATGGGGGCAATGAAGAATGGGAGGGTGTGGCCTCCACTCCTTTTGCTACAGTCACACCTGGAAAGGACGATGTCTTACCAGAGGACAGACGCACCAAAAATGGGATCCTCTGGTCTCACTGCAGTACGCTACCCTTGGGGAGCCCATCACCAGATGAACTTTTGTTTGCAGATGACTCCTCAGAAGACTCTGAAGTCCCGATGTGAGGCAAGCTGAGGGGAGGCATGAGAGAACCAAGCAAATACTGCTTCGTGGGATCTGGTTGACTTAGTTACTTTACTATTGCTGTGATGAAACACCACGAGCAAAGCAACCTATAAGAGGAAGTGTTTAACTAGGTTTACAGTTTCAGAGGGTCAGAGTCCATGACTGTAGAAGGAAGGCAGGGTGGCGGAAACAGCTGAGAGCTTACATCTTGAATGGCAAGCAAGCGACAGAGAGTACTCTGGGAAAATGGTACCACTCTTTTGAAACCTCAAAGCCTACTCCCAGTGACGCACCTCCTTCAATAAGGCCACACCTCCCAATCCTTCCCAAACAGTTCCACCAGCTGGAGATGAAGCACTCAAACATATGAGCCATTCTCACTCAAAATACCACACACTGGTTATACCTGATGCTCTGGCATTTGTTTTCCTTACTTATTTTACTTGTAAAGTTCGTGGCCTGATAGCACCAGGTGAATGCTGTCAAGTTTTCACTATAAATACATAACCAGGGTCTGGAGAGATGTCTCATGGGTTAAGAGTGTCTGCTGTTCTTGCAAAGGACCTAAGTTGAGTTGCCAGCAACTAAATCAGGGGGCTCACAACCACCTGTAACTCCAGGTCTGATACTCTCTTCCGGCCTCTGAGGGCTCCTGGACTCATAAGGCCTACTCACATGCAGTCACACATAAATCCAAGTAAATTTAAAAGTAAGTAAACAAACAGCAAGACTGGGAGTGTGGCTCAGCCGCTGAGTGTGTGTTTCACCCGTGGACTGCCTTGCGCTCTATCCCAAGACCCCAAAACAGTACAAAATAAAAATACAGAGGCTAGGGGAAATAGCTGGGTTGGAAAGTCCTTAACTTGTAAGCACTAGGATGTCAGTTTGATCCCCAGAGCCTACAGAACAAAAAAGTTCCATGTGGTGGCTCAGGCTTGTCATCTCAGTGCTGGGGAAGAGGAGGAGACAGGTGGATTTCTGATGCCCACAGGGCAGCCAGCCTAGGTGAGGTCCAGGCCAAGGGAGACCCTCAAAGAAAAAAGGTGGACAGCACCTGAGGAGTGATACTTGATGCTGCCCTTTGACCTCCATACACACACACAGACACACATACACACATACACACACACCCCAGCATATACATGAACATGTTCACACAAGAAAAAATATACATAAAATACATAATATATTTATTTAAAGAGAGAACATATATGCATATGGTGGAAAGAGACAAGGATATTATATTTTAATAAAAGATGACTTATTTCACTGACCTTGCAGATCTTAAAATATATTTCTCAGTGTTAACGTTTGTACAGAATCAATGTTGCTTTTTTAAAGTCGTTTTCTTTTCCACAGTATTAAATGTAAAAGTGTTTGTAAAATGAAATGCTAGATTTTGACTTCGTTTTTGACTTTCATGAGAGTCCTGGTATGCCTTCACGAATCATGTGTCTGATACGAATGATTTATTTCATGTTCGAGGTTTTACAACTGATCGCCTGATCTGACTTCTTAATAAAATACAAATAAGGAAGGATGTGTTCAGCATGCTTCAGACTTGGAAAGACAACAGTCACCAGCAGCCCTGATACCTTTGCAAAGGAGTCCCTTAATGGCTGTCCCTCACCACAGTTCCTCTGCTCATTCTTAGGATTGCTTTTGAGGGAAATGGAAAAACCATCTCAGAGTCTATAGATGAATGACTGGCAAAAAGGCTCAGCTGGGCCGGGCGGTGGTGGCGCACGCCTTTAATCCCAGCACTCAGGAGGCAGAGGGAGGTGGAGCTCTGTGAGTTCGAGGCCAGCCTGGGCAGCCTGGGCTACAGAGTGAGTTCCAGGACAGGCTCCAAAGCTACACAGAGAAACCCTGTCTCGAAAAACCAAAACCAGAACAAAAAACAAAAAAAAAGGCTCAGTTGGTAAAGGTACTTGTTACCAAAGCTGATGTCCTGGATTTGATTCCCAGGACTGACCTGGTGGAAAGAAAACCAACAGAGATGTCTTCTGACCTCCACATTCACACACACACACACACACACACACACACACACACACACACACACACACACACACACTAAATTAGTAAATAAATAAATGTAATTTTAAAGAGTTCATAAATGAGAAAAATAATAAAGGATTCAAGATTATATATACTGAGAAGATTTCAAATAAGCTGGAAGGGTCTGACAGATTGAGTCATGCTGCTGTTGGAGAGGTGGCACTCACAGGAGGTGGGCAGCACAGGGCCAGGACTGAGGCTATAGAGTTCTGCCTTCTCATTCCCAGCTCAGCCATCACTTGTTGAGTACTTGCCTTGTTTCCAGCCCTGTATATGTCCGGTCCCTTTACTGTGTGTCCTTCTACCATAGGTACCAGTGACATTATCACCATGTCTAGGCCAGGAAACCAAGGCTTGGAAATACTAAATAACCTGCTTACAGCACGTGTCTAGAGACTGTGAGAGCCAGATTTTAGAACATTTGAATGAGCACATGGTTCAGGGGGTTGTACTAGTAAGTTTCATCTTACAACAAACACTAGAGCACTGGTTCTCAACCTGTGGGTCGTGACTCCCTGGGGGGTCAAACGACACTTTCACAGGTGTTACCTAAAACCGTCTGCATATCAGATATTTACATTATGATTCATAACAGTAACAAAATTACAGTTATGAAGTAGCAACCATAGTAGTTTTATGGCTGGAGGTCACCACAACATGAGGGAACTGTATTCAAGGGTCATCAAAGCATTTGGAAGGTTAAGAACTACTGTACTAGAGGCAATTAACTTACAAAAAAAAAAAAGAAAAGATAAGGTTTATTTAGCATACAATTTGGAGATTACAATCCTAGATAGGGCAACTCCTTGGCTCTGCCTTTGGTAAGGATGGCAGATGGTAAAGGTTGAAGAAACACATGCTTATGTGCACACCATTAGCCAGGAAGCAGAGAGGCCAAGGTTGGAAGAGTACTCTTCCAAACACTGAAGGTCCTCCACAAGATCCCACCTCCATGGAAACGTTGTGGAATATTCATGTGTTACATTCATTTATGCTGTGGAATATTTGTTTAATGATGCAAAGATGTGTTGCATTCTTTCATGTTGCATCTGTTTAAGTCTGTGAAGCTGTGTTACTTTGCCTGTCTAAAATACCTGATTGATCTAATAAAGAGCTGAATGGCCAGTAGCAAGGGAGGACAAAGAAAAGGAGAATGACAGGAGGATACCAGGGGCCAGCCACCCAACCACCCGGTCAGCCACAGAGTAAGAAGGAAAGAAAGGTATTTAGAATAAAGAAAGGTAAAAAGCCCAGAGGCAAAATGTAGTTAAAGAGAAACAGGATAATTTAAGTTAGAAAAGCTGGCTAGAAACAAGCCAAGCCAAGGCCAGGCATCCATAAGTAAGAATAAGTCTCCATGTATTTGTGAGCTGGGTGGCATGCCCCCAAAGTTAAAAAAAAAAACTACAGGGAACCCCTGGGGAACACCCATCCAAATCATAGCAGGGTTCTACTCCAAAGCCTCTAGACATTTTATTTAATATATACAGATTTCATTCACTGTGTGCCAGGGATGGCACTCATTTAATTTCATGGAGCAGACAGGTGGGTAGACAGGCTGGGAGAGACTGACTGCCAAGGGCAGTAAACTGATGCCATCCATGGAAACACTGTGCAGATCCAGGGCCCTTGGCATCATCAGAATTGTTTGCTTCAAACTTGAGAGTGAGCTCACCCCGGCTGCAGCGGCCTTCAGGGATCAGAGTACACAGGGTTCAGAGCTGCAGTCTTTCATAGCCGAGTCCTGGCTCCAGCTGCCAGGCCAGGATCCCCATCTCCAGGGTGGCTCCCTTGTCACTGTGCAAAGGTTCTGAGGAGTTTAGATGAATCTACATCCTTATCAAATGTCAGCATCACATTTTATTAGTGAAAGGAAAAACAGACAATCATAGCCTATAAAGATAATTATGCAGTCGGGCAGTGGTGGCGCACGCCTTTGATCCCAGCACTTGGGAGGCAGAGCCAGGTGGATCTCTGCAAGTTTGAGGCCAGCCTGGTCTACAGAGTGAGTTCCAGGACAGGCACTTAAAACTACACAGAGAAACCCTGTCTCAAAAAACAAAAAACAAACAAAATAGATTAATATGCTAGGGTACTGGCAAGGTGGCTGAGCAGTCAAGAACACTGACTGCTCTTGCATAGGACTTGGGTTTGGTTCCCAGCACCCATGTGGCAACTCATAACTGTCTGTAACTCCAGTTCCAATGAATCAGATACTTTTATGGAGAGTGGAGACCAGGCAAGCACATAGTATGCATACATACATGCAGACAAAAACAAAAAACAAAAAAAACAAAAACCTCATACACATAAAATAAAAATACATAAATATTTTAAAACTATTTAAGGAGCTGAAGAGAAGGCTCAATAATTAGAGAGCTTGCTGTTCTTGCAGAAGACCTGAGATCAATTCTCAGCACCCATGTCAGGTGTCTCACAACTGTCTGTAACTCCAGCTCTAGAAGAATCTAATTCCCTGGCCTCCAGTAGCATCTGAATGCAATATCTCTATCTTTGTCTCTCTCTGTCTCTCTGTCTCTCTCTCTGTCTCTCTCTCTCTCTCTCTCTCTCTCTTTCTCTTTCTCTCAAAGGTCCCTGTTTTAAAAAATATTTTAAAACATATATTGCTGAAATTTTGTGACTAGTTTAAAAATTAATGAAACACATTTTTAAAAAATTTTATTATTTATTTATTTATTTATTTATTTAGGTTTTTTGAGACAAGGTTTCTCTGTGTAGTTTCGGTGCCTGTCCTGGGTCTCACTGTGTAGACCAGGCTGGCCTCAAACTCACAGAGATCCGCCTGGCTCTTTCTCCCAAGTGCTGGGATTAAAGGTGTTTGCCACCACCGCCAGGCCTGAAACACATTTTTTGTTTGTTTTTCAAGACAGCATTTCTCTGTTTAATAGCCCTGGTTGTCCTGGGACTCCCTTTGTAGACCAGGTTGGCCTCAAACTCACAGAGGTCTGCCTGCCTCTGCCTGCCTCTGCCAGCTGAGTGCTGGGAATCAAGATGTGCACCACCACGCCTGGCTAATAAAACACTTTTTAACACTTGGGAAAAGTTTCTTGTTGGTGGTACCCACGAGAGTTTGAAGAACTCAGGGCAGTGAGACGGCTCAGTGGGTAAGGTGGTGCCACCAAGCCTGACTACCGGAGTTCGATCCCTAGGACTCATAACCTGCGTGGTAGGAAGGAAGAACTGACCCTTCAAGTTGTCCTCTGACCCCTGCACAAGGGCAGTGGCACACACACACACACACACACACACACACACACTCACAGTAATCAAAAAACACTGTTAAAGAATTTGAAGAGAGCTAGAGAGATGAGTCCGTGGTTGAGAACACTGGCTACTCTTGCACAGGACCTGAGTTCAGTTCCTGAATGCACAGCCATTGCTAACCACAGCTCCAAGGGACCCAAAGTTCTCTGCAGGTACCAGCCACACATGTGGTGTGCATACATACATGCATGCAAAACACTCAAATACATGAACTAAGAGTGAATTAAAGCAGCTTTTCCGTTGTGTCATATTAACTTAGGATGTGCTGCATTTGTTTATGCTGTGGAATATTTGTTTAATGATGCAGAGATGGGTCACATTTGTTAGATTAAATAAAATTAACCTGTGGTCAGGAGGCTGAGTTCGCAATTAGCTGACAGGAAGCGGTAGGGAGGAGCCACTATAGTGAGGGTTCTTCAGTGGGGGTGGAGCAGAAGGACGCTGGTTTTTGAGGAGACACAAGCAAGGAGAGAAGGTGAGCTACTTGCTATTCAGCCTCTCTGAGCTAGCAGAATTTCACTTCAACCTCTGAATTCTGAGTTATTTCAAGAGGTAAAGATCTAAAGTTTCCCTTAGTGGCCTTGAGAGAGCAGTGCCCGAGGGAGCCGAATTCCCGCAGGCTGCAGCCCTTGAGCTGGAACCGCGTGCTGGTAGCTGCAGAGTTGCAGCTGCTGATTAGGACAGGCATTGCTTAAAGGGCAGCCACTGTATTGAAGCCCTGATTAGGGATTAAGAATAGCTAGATTAAACAACAAAAATTTACATAGAAAGGAAAGTGCATATCTGCTGGAAATTTTCCTATACATTTAATATTAAGTATCTAAACTACTATGCAATGGATTTTATATTTCTTAACTATATGCTATTTTAAAAAAGCATATACTGAATTAGATCATCAAATGCCCCACCACACTCCAAATCCCACCCAGGTGACTCTCTTCTCCATGTGGCCTGGGTCAGTGCTGCTGTAGTGGTGTAAGGGGTGAGCAAGCTAGGTCTTCTGGCTTTTCTTGAAATATCAACAAACACAGCACAGCTGTTCACTCCATCCAGCTACGCAGCCACGGTCCTGGTATTGCTGCAAAGTGGTGTTGTTAGGAGCCTGCTCTTACTCCGGCACATGCGCAGCTTGGTCTAACATCTTACATCATCAGTGGGGGTGGGCGACTGTGTACCCGTCGAGTGGTCACG